ACATTTCTGATTTTATTTCAGGTTCGTACCAAATCAACCTAAAATTTTACATCTTGTTCCACCATTTAAAAAGAGGAAAAGAACCTGGTCAGAAGAGGACTCCTGACCTTTTCCAATTGAGTGTTGTCTATTGCTCAATACAAGCTGAAAAGGTGGGGTCAGAATCCCATCAGAGGGCAGCTAACCTGAGGACAGTAACACCCACACCACTGTAGATTGCCACAATGATTTCCACGTAGTCAGTGCTTAGGAAGAGAAGCCAGGAAACTGTGATGTGTCACTGGGTGTTGTTTTATTTAGCCGAAGTATCCTAAAGTAGTCCTAGTAGACCATACAAGCCATTGTCCTGGTAAATCATTATTCTAGAACCCAACAGCCACCAAGACCAACATCTTTATTCAGCCGTGAGTCAAAACAGAGTTTCTCGACCCTCATCTTCAGCCCTGCAATGCAATATCTTTGAGCATCTCTTTATCACCCTCTTCCATCCCGAAAACTCAGAAATACTTCTGCTGTGTAGTCATTCTTTTTTTTTCCCTACCATGAACTTTTTAAGGATAAAAAAAATTACATTTTGTGTTCCTGTACAGGTCAGAAGACAACTTTTGGGAATTGGTACTTTCCTTCCACAATGAGTTCCAAGAATTGAATAGGCTTGTTCACAAGCACCTTTTTACCTGTTGAGCCATCTTAGGAACTTTTAAAAGAACATCTTTAGGGTTGGAATGGAGATGTGACAGATCAGTCCTTTGTCGTGCATGAGGCTCTGATACCTAGCACCACAATAAGTAGATAAATAAATTTAGAAGAGCGTCTGTTTCATTTATTTATTTAATGAATGCGGTTGTTTACATGCATGTCTGTATGTGGGCCACATGCATGCCTGGTGCCATGGAGCGCAGAAGACACTGCTCTCCTGGAGTTGGAGTAACTATGGATGGGTATAAGCTACCAAGTGGGTGCTGAGAACCAAATTCAGGCCAGAGCAGCAAGTGCTTTAATCACTGAGCCATTTCTCCCACCACCCCCAGCCCTAGTCACGAGCATTTTTTACAACTGCAAAAATAGCGTGAATTTTTAGATTGTTCAAATTATAAGATAAAACTCCTAGGTTGAAGAGATGGGCTCAATGTTAGACAACCATGAGTTCTGGTTCCCCAGCACCAACATAAAAATCCCTGTTGTGTAGACTCACTGGGGCTTGCTAGTCAACAACCCAGCTCCAGGTTCAGTGAGAGAGCCTGTCTCCAGGGAACAAGGCAGACAGTGATAGAGAAGGCCTTTGGCCTCTGTGCACTGGCAAACTGACCCCCCTTTCCACCACACACATAAGCAAATTCTGCAGAGAAGCCTGGCTGACCAGGGCGGGAGCCAGACTACCTGTTATTCATTATGCACATCGTAATTCTGGGTAAGAAAGCTTCACTCTGCATCCATTTCCTCCTTTGAAAAATAGGACAATAACTACCTTCAGCAAAAGATTATAGATTGAGACACAAATAAACCGACATGTAAAGGGGACAGGGACAGTGGTGGGCACATTTTAAGCACTGCATAAATATTTTTTAATTATTTTTTGGCACTCACTAAGTTTCTACATTGTTTCCTAAGTGTACACAAAGTTTGCCCAAATAATATATTATCTATGGTTCAAGCTACATTTAATGTTTTCCCATGATAATTAGTATTTACTCAGTAGGTACATACAAGCCAACTCTGTATAGACATACCAGATGCTAAGGCAATTCTTAAAATAGTGCTGTATAAATAGGTATAGCCTTAAAAAGAAAACAAGACATTGTATTTGAAGAAAAAATGACATGAAACACTAAAATAGCAACATTAAGGTCATTGAAATTAAACACCAAATGGTACCCTGTAAACACTTGACACACAAAGAGTAGTGGGATTCAATTAGAGAGAGGGAAGGCTGGAGTAGCCCATTCACAAGGACAGGAAGGACCTAAAGGAAAGGAAACAGATACATTTGTTGCAAAGTTTATTCTATAAATGCTTTTCCTGGCCTGGCTCTGATCTAGGTCCTGGAGATAAGCAACAACTAACACATACTAGAAACTGGCTTGTCTGTGGGCTAAAAGGCATCCATCCATACTAGAGACCAGTTTTCCATTGAGTTTTGGCAATGGTGGGGATAGGACCTAGGGCTGCAAGCATTCTAGGCAAATTTTTTTTTTTTTTTTTTGGTTTTTTACGAGACAGGGTTTCTCTGTATTGTTTCGGAGGCTATCGGTCCAGCCCGGCCTCGAACTCACAGAGACCCGCCTGCCTCTGCCTCCCGAGTGCTGGGATTAAAGGCGTGCGCCACTACCGCCCGGCTCTAGGCAAATTTTTACACTGAGCTGCATCCCCAGCCTAGGAGCCAAGTTTGTTTGTTTATTTCTTTTTTGCTTTTCCAGACAGGGTTTCTCTGCATAGCTCTGGAGCCTGTTCTGGAACTCTCTGTAGACCAGGCTGACCTCGAACTCACAGAGATCCTCCTGCTTCTGCCTCCCGAGTGCTGGCATTAAAGGCCTGTGTAACAAACACCCGTCTGAACCAAGTTTTGAAATGAAGAATGAGACAGGCCTAGCTTCCTACCATGTCTCGGATGACTTAGAGACAGTCACTACAACTTCACAACTATGATAAATGTATACAAATGGCTGACTTGAATACTTTAGTAATTTCTCACGTATTGCATTGAATTGCAAATCTATTCATTTATGTATACATTAAGAGAACAGTCTCCATATTTTTTCATACAAATGACAAGAGATTTACCAATTCATTGTCACTATTCCTGGGGTAGATTCCGTTCAGTTTGGCCACAGGAAAGCCCAGTAAGGCCTTACCTGTGTAGTTGCCTGTTCAGGGATTCCTTATCACTACTATGTCTCCCCCCCTTTTCTTTCTTTCATCTGCCAATGACTGGCCCCCAAACCTCAAAACTTGCAAAGTGCTTGAAGAGGCACCTATGTAGTAGTAAGAATTATTCACACAAAGAAGTATTCCCTCCAAAAGACAACTTGAATCCTTCTCTCCTCTATTTACCTCAAGTAAAGAAGCCCTTTGGTAAATACCAACTAACAAAGCTTTCCCAACTTTTAGTTCTTCCCAATGGGGTTTTCTGATAAATTCCAATATGCTAATTTCCCCTCAAGCACAAGCTTCCAACCACTTCTCTCAGTCTGTCTAATCGTCCCAGCCATGTCTGTCTTATGACTCAAGACTCTATCTACCGCCGCCCTCACAAATCAGTTTCTTGAACTGTTATGGCTACATACATCATTAAATTGTATCTTTATAAATATATTCTAATCTTATATTGGAGATAATACTGAATAAGACTTAAAACTTTTTATCATGGAACTCACTCTATAGCCCAGGCTGGCCTGAACTCAGAGATTTGCCTGCGTCTGCCTCCCTCGTGCTGGGATTAAGGGTATGCACCATCACCGCCCTGCTGGGCACATAAAACTTTTGCAACTACACACAATACAGAAAATCTAACATTCCTAATGTTCAAATGCTCAGCGAAACCCTAACACTCCTAGCCGAGTGAAGCAGTGTACATTTCTGATCCCAGCACTCAGGAGGCAGAGGCAAGTTAGGTCTCTTGAGTTCAGGGTTATCCTGGTCTACATAGATCCAGGCTAGCCAGGGATACATAGTGACCCTGTCTATAATAAGAAAAAGAAACAGACACATCAACAAAATCTAACAGCCTACTCACTGTTTTCATAGTTTGGTGTTGAAAATAAAATCATGTCACACATTTGCCCTTAGTTAGGAACTGTACTAAGAAATACAAAGAATGACCCTTCGAGTTAAGGGTCACTAATGCTGTCAGTACCTTTGCCTGACGCACACCCTAAGGCGTTCATTTTCGGCCATATTATGTAATGGGCACTTGGATAAGTAAGAACTACAAGGCTTTGTAAACTATTTTAATACCCAAAGGGATTAACTGCAATTCTATGAACTTTTAAAGCCACACTGACTTGAATTACTTTATGTAATCAACACCCTTATTTTCACAGAAGAAACAATTTATTTAACGTAGACATTCTATATAGTGATGCATTCAAACAAACTCATGTGTTAAAAAACTGAACATTCTATGCTTATGCCAAGTTAACCTTGAGAACGAACTGATATAAAACATCTAAGAACATCTGGCACTGTCCTGGAAAACAGTTTACAATTTTCTAACTTTAAACTCAAACTAAATGACTAAAAATTGTATACGTGCTTGCTTATATATGTAAATGCACATATACTGGTACTACACAAAATGCTGGTATGTTAACAGTATATGGGGGGAGGTGAATTTGTAACAGGCAAGATAATTTGTTGAAAGTTACACTATTAATTATTTGCATCCCAATTCAACAGAACCGCTACAGTGCGAGCACGAATCGTAACGAGAAGTCAGTTGATCCAGGAGAACTTGCCCAGCTGGAATAGTTAAGCCCTTAAGCACGTGGACAATGCGCCGCTTTATTTGCATGGCCAGGACTAACCTGGGGACTGATCGGTTTTAATGGCGAAGCTGCAATCACGCTTACACCCATCACCTGCCTCACGCTGGAAAGCGTTATCGTTTGAGTGGCTACGCAGAGGGATTTTTTGTTTGTTTTCTTTTTCCCCCCTCCCTTTTAAGAATACCCCAACCATTCAAGCAAACAGTGAGCAGGCACCCGGGCCACTTCCAGCTTTAAGAACACTCCGATCGCCTGGGCCTCGCAGCGGGGAAGACGGGGAGACCCGGGAGCCAGCCTGGAGCCAGCTTCGCCTCCAGAGCACGCGCAGACACCCCGCGACCGCCCCACCGCCGAGCGACGAGCCGGGACGCCCTCGGGGCCCGGGCCCGCCGTTTCCCGCCCGCGCCGACGACACACGCCCCGCTCGGCTCGCGCCCGAGGCGGCACCGGGGCCGCCGCGGCGTGGGGCTCGCATTCCGGGAGAGGGAGGGAAGGAAGAAAAACCAATAACAAAACCTGGCTTCTCGTTCCCTCCGGAAACCGCGGGCCGGCAGGAAGTGACGAAGGAGAGGTCGTCCGGTCCGCTGGGTCTCTGGCCGCGGCTCCCCGCTCGACTCCCGGAACAGCCCGAGCGGAGCGGAGCCGAGCGGCACGCGGCCTCCGCACCTCCGGAGCCGCTGAGCGCTCGCTCGCCCGCCCGTCCGCCCGCGCGCGCGGCCGCGTCACCGCCCCGCCCCGCCCGGCCGGCCGGCCCCGCCCCGTCCCGGTCGCGGGCTGCAGTTCAGACCGGACGGCGCGGCTGCTGCTGCTGCTGCTGCGTGCTGACGGTCCCCGGGCGCCGGTGCCCGGCGGGAACGTGGACGGCCTGTCGGAAGAGGACCGTCCTGCATGCCACCGGGAGCGGATTGCACAGGCTCGGGGACGCGGCTGGAGGAGGCCAGGTTTGGGCGTCGATCTGTGTGCCGCCTCTGCCCCTCCGGTCCCGGGCCCGTGTGGCCTTGGGACTACAGAGCCACCACTACCACCTGTTACACAGCCTCAAAGCAGGATGGTTGCAAAAATGTTATTCGAATGTGGACTGTCCGGTCCACAGGTCTCAGATGTCCTCCTTCCTCCTGGAAAGGGTGAAGGCCTGTGATGAGCCTGTTCCCTTCTGAGTTAGGACCTCAAATCCCTTGGTGCTAGAGAAATCAGGAGAAAGATTCTCCCCCTCAGTGCTTGGATTTTGTTGTTAGAAATGGTGTTTAAGCTGCATTCCTGTGAGAAATAACAAAGTTCCAGATGAGAGACCAAAATAATATTCTAGGCATGATGGCAAGTTACGCGTACTTCTAAAACGGTGTAGACGAATTTAAAAACTTCAGATAATGTCTCATGATTACCAGAAAAGGGTTTTTCACCTAAGAGCAGGTCAGCCTTAAACTAAGCCGTAATGGGTGCATTTTGACAGCATTGTCTCTGAATGCTCATAGTGACTTTTGTCATCTTCCCCCTGCAATAATAGTTCAAGCATTTATATCACAGCACAGCCGAGGGAAGGAGTCAGTCTTCCCAAGAGAATTTATCTTACTGGACTATTAACTTGACAGAAATGAACCCCAGGACATTTTACTTTAGACGGAAGATGAAGGGTGTGTTAGACCACACCAAGTGTGTGGGAGAGCTGCTCAGAGGATCATGTCTGCCTCCTGACTCTGGCTCTCCGTCCCTGGTGGTCTCACAAGGCATCATTTTCTTGGTCGTGTCAGTACTGGCAGGAGAGGCCGAGCTCCAGTGCCAGTCTTTCACAGCTGCAGGTCTAAGGTAATCCGTATGTCCCAGGACCCATGGAGTGGCAGTGTTATTGTACACGGATGCTTAAGATTATGTGCTGTGTGTCTCAGGTAGACATTTTGCCACTCTGGGACAGCAGTATTCAGAAATCCTTTTTCTAAATACAATTATAGAGTGGCAGAGTAGGAAGGAATGCTCTGGACAGGAGTATACCATCCACTCTGTGGCACATGGACCAAGTTTTGTCAAAAGTTGTAGCAGGAAATTAACCTGGTTCAGATCCATTGGGCATTAGGAAGCACTTGGTTAATTTGTCAGATAAATAATGGCACTCACTCCGTATCCTAGTGGCCCATTGCCTTATTATTACTGTTTCTTCCCTAATTTATTAACTCCCAATTCCGAGCGCTGCTGTTCCTGCACTGTTGTCTGTGTCTGTGCTCTCTGAAGTGGCTCCAACCAGAGACTTCAAACTTACTTTCTTCCAAACACGATCATGGTTATTGCCATCTTAGCATGTTGGTGTTTACAAGGGTCAAAATGCCACAAATTAAAGGCAACTGTAGTGTTTGGTCTTCCAGAAGTCTCTATCAAAATACACTGACTATCTACTATGAATCAATAATAATCAGAGAACTCCCTGGAATTGAATTAAAAAAAATAAGAATTCATCATGTGACTATGTCATCTACTCTTGTTCCTTCAACCAAAAGCCCATAGCTTTAGTCATATTAGGAGTTAGGTCTACCCTCATATTTAGATCTGAAAGGTGTAAATCTTTTTTTTTTTTTTTTTTTTGGTTTTACGAGACAGGGTTTCTCTGTATTGTTTTGGAGGCTGTCGGTCCAGCCTGGCCTCGAACTCACAGAGATCCGCCTGCCTCTGCCTCCCGAGTGCTGGGATTAAAGGCGTGTGCCACCACCACCCGGCTTAGGTGTAAATCTTTTATAGTGAAGTTCTGCTTATTGTTTCTTGACCAAAATATTTTTACAAGATGGGTATTTGTATCTATCAGACTTGAACTTAATCTTGTCTTCAGTGTTAGGAATTCAAACTAAAGGTCTGTTCATGTTGTCTATTCTACTCTAAACGAGCCCAATAGGTCTTCAAACATCTGGCAAAGACTCCAGGTGTGAGAAAGACAAAAGCATGCCACCTGCCTTAGAGCAACCCTTTCCTGGAATTTAATTCCATATTTTATATGGACAAGTGGGAAGAAAGAAAATACATGCTAATTAACTTACCCAGGGAAAAGACATTAATGGCATTTGCATAGCTTACAGAATAGACTGCAAGTTATTTTTGTGAAGAATTTCTGCATCACCTTTGCTGTTGAAGGCAGAAACTAATACCACAAAAGTTTTATAAATAACTTCTCATACATTTCAGGTTATTTCTTTTCTTGGTATTAAACATGCTTTGTTGTTAAATACTACTTACTGTACTCTTATTACCTGCCATTTCTTCGTTCTCCCTTTTGTAGAATATCTAAAACACTTTAGAATTGCTTTCATATTTTACGTCATTTAACTGAGACTTTCCTTTTATTCTCAGCACAAGGGAAGAACTTTGTCCTTAAGGAAAAATTCAGTCCTCAAACACAAATAAGAAACCTTTATTCTTTCTGTTTGATACACTTGTGATTACCAGTCCAACTTTCTGTGGGAATGTCCAAAGAATGCATGATTATGGATAAGTAGCAATGTAACTCTTTATCTCGTGGCTTCTTTTAGCCAGATTTGGCTAACAGGCAAAGCTTGGTCCAGCTCCAGATGTGCAGGCATGTTGGGAAGCACATGGAGAGCAGTTAGTGTGTTCATGTATTCTCCAGGTTGCTGTCATGAAGGAGACTGGTCTTCTAAGAATCCTCCCTGTTGTCTGGGTCTGTGTTTTGAAGGGTTCTGTTGTTCTCATCTGAGTGGCAGCTACAATTTGGAAACTGCAGTAGCATTTCACATTCAATTCTTTTAGCATTATTTTTTATTCTACATTTTAACATTTATGTAAGAGTTGTAATATTCCAAAATTAAAATGGGAAAATACATGTTTCGTACCTTCATGACCTATATCTGGGGTCAGTATCCCTTTTCCTAAGAACCAAACTGAAAGCACTTTTTAGGCTCCTTAAATAATGAGGAAAATTGAGGCCCATAGGTATTTAGGATCATAATGTCCCTACTTAGGGACTGCAGGGTATCTCAGGATAGAGAGCATGCTTAGCATGTGTGTGACCCAGCACACTTCAAAGACAAATGCGAGCAATGAATGCCATGTGCCTATTTCAAAGTGTAAAATCACCCTTAGCTGTGGGCCATCCAACAACAGTCGGTGGCCATGTCTCAGCCACCCCTCCTTTTGTTGTTTCTTGCAGATGCCATGGCTGGAAGTTATGGCGTGATGGGTGATGATGGTTCTATGGATTACACAGTCCACGAAGCCTGGAACGAAGCCACCAATGTGTACTTGATAGTGATCCTTGTTAGCTTTGGTCTCTTCATGTATGCCAAGAGGTAAATACGGGCAGATAAGGTACCGAGTGTTTATGAGATTTAAAGGGGTATAATGTGGTTGGTTGTTGTTGTTTTGTTTTAACTGGATTAAATGCATAAATATATCTCTTAAGAAATTGTGCACTCAGAAGGCATATTTCTGTGAAGATCAGGCCAGCCTGGTCTACAGAATGAGTTCCAGGACAGCTAGGACTGTTTTGCAGAGAACCCCTGTCTCAAAAAACAAAAGGGGAGAGAGAGAGAGAGAGAGAGAGGGAGGGAGGGAGGGAGGGAGGGAGGGAGGGAGGGAGGGAGGGAGGGAGGGAGGGAGGGAGGGAGGGAGAGAAAGAGTGTTCCTGGACTGAAAGTTACTGTCTACGGAGGCTTTGGTGACTGAAGTTTGATCTGGAAATCCCATATTCAGTTCCTGGTAACAGGACCTGCTGCTCTGAAGTTTGGTCACTGTCATTTCTAAAGTAGCCCAGCTTTATCACCAGCGTTGCTACATTGTCCTCTTGCAGTGAGCACGCTTTGAAGTATTTTGGGTTCAAGTGTCTGAAATGCAAAAACTCTTGACGCCTATGTAGTCAGCAAGGCTCTGTCCACCTATTTGACCTTTTCCTTGGTTCTCATGCACGGCACTGTATTAGTTAGCTTCCTATTGCTGTGATAAAGACCGAGAGGCAACCAAAAGCGACTTGCAGAGCAGAGTTTGTTTTAGCTTACAGGCCACAGTCAGTCCTTCTTGAGAGAAGTAAGCACAGGAACTCAAGATAGGGACCTAGAGGCAGAAACTGAAGTGGAGACCTTGGAGGAGCACTGCAACTGCTTGTTCTCCATGCTTTGCCCAGTTTGTTTTCTTATGCAACCTGAGACCACCCACCCTCTGTTAGTATTCAGGCATCTGTACTGGCCTGTCCTTGGGGTTCTGACAGGATACATCCTCAGCTGCAGCCACTAAGAGCACCACCTGTGCACATTCACTATGTTCCCTTTTTAAACGGGCCCCACTCACCTCCTATCCTCTTCCTTTCTTTCTCTCCTTCTCTCTGTCTGTCTGTTTCCCTCTCTCTCTCTCTCTCTCTCTCTCTCTCTCTCTCTCTCTCTCTCTCTCTCTCTCTCTCTCTCTCTCTCTCTCTCTCTCTCTCTCTGTGTCTTTCTTTCTCTGCCTCTCTTTCCTCTCTCTTGCTGCCCTGTCCCCACAGGCCCATCTCCCACTTCCCCTTTCCCTTTTTATGATCCTTTTCCCTTAATAAGAAAACCCCTCTGCTTGAACTCTGTGGCATGGTGTCTTTCTCTTTTGAGCTGCTTTTTAAAAATTACTACACCCTCAGTGAACTGGGCCCTACCACAAGAGTCAAGAATGAAGAAAATGCCCCACAGACTTACCTACAGGCAATTCTTCAACTGAGGTTCTGTCTTCCCAGATGACTCCTGCTAGATCAAGTTGGCAAGAAATCAGCACACTACATCTCTGTTCTTTATATAAATGTCAATTCCTCGAGAATAAGGAACTTGTCTTTTATCTTTGTGTCATTGATATGCCTCATGGTCTGAATTCTCAATAGACACATTTCTGACTTGATATCAAGTGTAGCTTAATTTAAATGCCCCTTTTAACTCTTCCTGGTTACTATCACCCAAATCCAGCAAAAACAGTAATAGAATTAATGATGATGGTGATGATGATGATTATGGCTAGAGTGTATTTTAAAGAGGAAAAGCAGTTTTCTGCTATAGGAATATACTTCAGTACATTCTATACTGAGGTTTTTAAAAAGGCCATTAAGTGTCTTATAATAATTAATAGTCCAGAAATAACTTGTTTGGACTTGGGTACACCTCACCTACTTATATTTGTCCTTGTAGCTCCCTCCTAGTGGCAGGACTGCTGGCTATGGGTGTAAGAAGGTGCCACTTGACATCACAGATCTACTTGCATGTGACATCTTTTCTCTAAAAGAGCTGCCACCTCCTTGCCACTTTTCTTTTAAAAGCAGAGATGCACTGCTCTTGTTTCTAAAAAAGATATCCCACTGGAACTATGTCATTAAAGAACGTTTTTATTCATGAATTTTCCAAACGGAGGTCTGCTCACATCCGGCATATTCCCCACTCCAATGATTTGTCTTTAGTTGGATATTGTGAAAGAGAGGAAAAATGACATGCTTTCTTGTTTGTATACTGTTGTTTTTAATATGTTATTTTTTTTCCTAGGAGTTAAGGGGAATAGCAATGAAAGGGCCTCATCTTGATATATTGCTTAGTAATACAGTATTACATGTATTATATGTTAAGCTTTTTTTCCCTGTGATGCCATGCTCTACATAGAGAGCTTATATGTTAGTGAAAAAAATAGAGTACTTCACAAAAAGAATTTGTGCCATGGAGAATTGTCTCATGGATTGTGAGACAATTACCTAAGTTTTGAAACAAATCTGCATTGGTTTTGTGTTTTAGGAATAAGAGGAAAATTATGAGAATATTTAGCATGCCACCTTCAGAAGAAACCTTGTCAGAGCCCAATTTTTATGACACAATGAGCAAAATTCGCTTAAGACAACAGTTGGAAATGCATTCCATTTGTAAGTATGTTCTTTGTCGAGCTGTATACATAACATGTTTAAAATTGGTGCTAAGTCTTTGGCTTTTCTGTTGCCTGAAGCCTTCTGTGACCTTGAGAGGTGATCATATTCTTATAAGTTTTTCCGGAATTAAGATTGCAGTCACCATTTGATGCCTCTATTTCTTCCTCTTCCAATTTCTCCTTCCTCGTGCTTCTCATTGAAGTACTTTGGGATGACACTGAAATGGTAAATCAACAGAACACCCAAGTAGTGTAAGAATGACTCTCAGGACTTGCAAAATCAAGGTACAAGGCCAGAATTTATATTTGAACAATAGTAATTATGGTACTGGTCATTGCAAGCATGGACACAGGAAAGAAGAAACAAATTTTAAAATGTGTAGGTTCAGAATCAACTGTACATTGAAGCCTTTGATTTCATTACTTAAAATATTAAAGTGTGAGTCGGGCGATGGTGGTGTACTCCTTTAATCCCAACACTGGGGAGGCAGAGGTAGGCGGATCTCTGTGAGTCCAAGGCCAGCCTGGTCTACAAAGCTACACAGAGACAACCCTATCTCAAAACACCAAAACATACATACATACATACATAAAATCAAGGTGTGCCTTCTGTGGTTCATTAAGTTGGATAAACAAGATGGTACTTATATTAGAATGCCAGGTTCATCTCATCTGTCACCTTGATAGAATTTAGAACCACGAGGGAAACCCCATAATGATGTATTTCCTAAATTATAGTCCCCCTTTTATTTAAAGTTATCGGTCTTATTTTTAGATGTATTTTAACTTGTTTAATTGATCTAACATTTCTTACCCTATCATAGAACTGATGGTCTGTCTGGCCTAGTATCTAAAAGCATTAGATTATGTGAATGTGTTTTGGACATTTGTTTGCTAATTTTGTTTTAATGGGTTTTTGTGAAAACTGTTTTAGAGGGAATAATGTGTCACTCTACTGTAGTTAGTATTTCTGCTGCAATTACAAAGGGAAGTTGGGAATGAAGCCATCACCCCTCTCTCTGTTTTACATCCTTCAGCCAGTCTGTAAGGATGCTCAATCGCTGACTTTCTGTTAGTTCATTGGCGTCAGTTGCTGCCTCCAGGTTCCTGCCTTGACTTCCCTCTGTGGTAGACTATGGACTGTGAGCTGAAGTACACCGTTTCCTTCCCAAGTTGCTTTTGGCCCTGGTGTTTATCACAGCAGTAGGAAGCACACCAGACACGCACACCCCCATTGCCTGCTGCTGCCCCCAACTCTTCCTTTCATAGAACATGAGAAGGTTGTAAACATGACAGACTGTCCTGTATCTTCCTTGTCACTTGTTGAGGGGAACATAGGAGTTAAGTCTCAACCTCACTTCTGTTAAAAGTTCCCTTAGGTCTTGTTTGAAGTGTTGGGGAGAGACGGAGGTCTGGCAGAGTAGGACACCCAAAGATAGGACAGGATGTATCTCCTACACACACAGAGACCAAGGGCTTATCTTTCCAAATATAGCAATCCTGGAACATGTCCATCTCCCAGATTATGAGAAACTATTACCCTCACTTCACAATAAGAACAGTGGAGTCTCAGAGTAGCAAAAGAAAGACGGATCTATTTTCAGTTGTGCAGTAACTGAAGTCAGCCTATATAAAAGGAAAAATATGGCTGTTGCTCCTATTTGGCACAAAGCACTGCTTTTGTGTCCCTAGTTGTACTTCTTTGCCCCTTTAATTCTCATTGGTTGAATTCCTTAGATGCAATCTTGCTGCTGCCTCAGTTCCCCATCCTATTGCTTCCAAACCCAGCTGTATCTAATGAATATCTTGGGACAGCTTTAACCTCCTCCTCCCTTTGTGTATGGGCTCAGTGAAATAGCAGACTACCTGTAACCTTTGACCCCAGACACGCAGGTGCTAGTGCCGGCTAGGAAAGGTAGATGCGGGGCCTCCTGCTTATCTGGGCTCTCTGGTGAGATCTGAACACACCTCACTCTGAAAGTGTGCCGTAACTAATTTCTTTTTTTTTTTTTTTTTTTTTTTTGGTTTTTTTTACGAGACAGGGTTTCTCTGTATTGTTTCAGAGGCTATCGGTCCAGCCCGGCCTCGAACTCACAGAGATCCGCCTGCCTCTGCCTCCCGAGTGCTGGGATTAAAGGCGTCCGCCACCACCGCCCGGCTAATTTCTTACAACCTGTTCCCATTTTTCTCCAACTCCCACAGGTCTCCCCCAACACTCCCCCTACAGCCTCAAGTTTTCTTCTAAATAAGTTCAGTTGCTGCTAGTCATTTTATGTGGGTATATGGCTATCCACTAGAGCACAGGAAACCTTTCAGCGGCCATACCCTCAAAGAACAACGATTCTCCCTCCCTCAACAGTGAAGGGTGGAGTCTTGAGAGCTCCTCCCCCATGTATGTTCACATTTTAGTTGGCTTGGTCATGTGCACCTCCTGGGTAGGGAACCCCTGCTACTATGAGTTCATGGGTACCATAGCCATGTTATTTCCAGAAGACAATATTGCATAGTACTTCTCCTTACCCTCTGTCTCTTATGGTCTTTCTATCTTCTCTTCTGCCATGTTCTCAGAGCCTTGGCAGTGATGGAAAATGTGTTATTCAATAAAGATGTCCAGTTTAGGGTCAGCCAGTTACAAGCATTGACTGCTCTTTCCAGAGTTTGATTCCCAGCATTCATACTGGGGTTCACAACCATCTGTAACTCCAGTTTCAGAGGACCCAGTTCCCTTTTTTATTTGTTTGTTTTGTTTTTGAAAACAGGGTTTCTCTATGTAGTTTTGTACACCAGGTTGGCCTCAAACTCACAGAGATCTGCCTGCCTCTGCCTCCCAGGTGCTGGGTTTAAAGGCATATGCCACCACTGCCTGGCTCCATTTCCCCTTTTTTGCCTCCTTCACTGTAAACACACATACGTGTAGATAAAATACCCATACATATTAAAAAATAAATAAAATTTCAAAATGTCCTGTTTAAGCACTAGCCACTCACTCTTAGAACTATGAGCAGTTGTGAGCTCCTTCACCGACTGCATCCCATGTCTGAGTATAAGTATAAATTGTTAGAAGGCAATTAGACAACCTGACCTTTTAGCAAAAGCAGTATCAGGCTCCACCTTAGTGCTGTTATCTCCTCAGCCATGGGCTTTTGTCCAGGTTTACAATACCAGACATGAAATCTCCTATCTGTGGAGTAGACCTCAAATCCAACCAGAAAGCGGTTGGTTGCTTCATCCATAATAGTCATGCCACTAATGCACCAACGGATGGACCTTGTCCGGCAGGTCAGAGTTGTACCACACAGCATGGGGTAAGACCACTGATGTCTTGTACGCCTCCAGCAGCACGCATAGTATCTTCAAGCACCGTGAAAGCTAGCAGCTAGGGAGGAAGTTTCCCAATCAGTTTGAGATTTATCTCTGTGTTCTGCAGCTTGAATGTGCTGTTTTATCAATTGGGTCTTGTTGTGTAGTTACACTGAGTAACCAAGGGCAATGATAGTAGCCTGTGTGGCTTTGGGGACTTCTGGGTCAATAACTCATAGGGCAGTGTTCCATGCCCTGCACTGCAGTTTGTTTAATAACTCATGTCAGCTGGGTGGTAGTACACACCTTTAATCCCAGCACTTGGACGGCAGAGACAGGCAGATCGTTGTGAGTTTGAGGCCAGTCTGGTCTATAAAGAGAGTTCCTGGACAGTCAGAGCTGTTACACTGAGAAACCATATCTTGAAAAACCAAGATAGATAGCTAGGTAGACAGACAGACAGACAGACAGACAGATGATAGAAAGAATAACTCATGTCTTCTGGGAGCAGTGTTGTCCACCCATGCAGGGTACCTCCATTCAGACTTTTTCACTTTTACAGTTGTATTTTGAAATTATCTGACTGGCTCGTGGGTTTTTATAAGACCATTTCATATGTCTTTAGTTTTGGTCATCCCAATCCCTTTCCCCTTCTCTCCTCCGTTGCTCTGCTCCCTACCACCCCTGCCTCCCCTCCCATGTGTTCAGCTTCCCTTCCAATCGTGGTTTTAATTGGGTTGTGAGGTCTAGGTTTCTGTGTAGCTTTTTCATATTTCTCGCCCCATTTCCCCTCTCTCCTGCCGCTTCCTGCACAGGCCTTTCTACCCTCACCCATATTCCATCACGCCACTTTGGTTTTACCTAGAATTTACTGCCTCTTCTTAATGCACCATTCCCAGTCCAGACTTTCTGGTTTATCCGCATCTACCTGTGCTCCAAGCTAAACACACAAAACAAAATGTCTGAAACCAGGTTGCACACATGAGAGAACATGTGACATCTGTCTTCCTGGACCTGAGTTCCCTCAGTTAGTATACTCTTTTTCCAGTTCCATCCATTTCCCTGAAGATTTCGTGATTTTATTTTCTTTACAATTGAGTTATTGGCCCCAGAAGTCCCCAAAGCCACACAGGCTACTGTCATTGCCCTTGGTTACTCAGTGTAACTACACAACAAGACCCAATTGATAAAACAGCACATTCAAGCTGCAGAACACAGAGATAAATCTCAAACTGACTGGGAAACTTCCTCCCTACCTGCTAGCTTTCACAGTGCTTGAAGATACTATGCGTGCTGCTGGGGGCGTACAAGACATCAGTGGTCTTACCCCATGCTGTGTGGTACAACTCTGACCTGCCGGACAAGGTCCATCCGTAGGTCATTATCGACACACTTACACCCTTCCATTGTGTAAATGTCCCACATTTTCACTATCTATCTGTTAGAGGCCACGTGGGTTGCTTTTGTTTCCTAGCTGCTGTGAATAGAGCCACAGTGACCAGGGAGGGCAAGTGTCTGCAGTAGGTTATAAATTCCTTTGGGTTCATGCCCAGGAGTGCTATAGCCGGGTCATATGACAGCTCTATTTCTAGCTGCTTCTGTAGACTTTCAAGTTAAATATAGTAAAAACAAAAAGGTGGTAATATCAAATTGCTGAAAATAAGTTATTATTGAGTACTCAGCCCTAAGTGGGGCACGTATCCCGACCCCCTCCCACAAGGCTCAGCAGTCATCAAGGAAGGAAGATGAGTGGAAAGATGGTAAGAGCCAGAGGCTAAGGAAAAACTGTAAAAATAATGTTTCCCACATGTGACAGGGTGTTGCACACACAAACTCACAGTGACTGTGGTTGTCTGCACAAGATCAAGCTGATCACAATTCCAGGACGGATGGTGAAGGGTGCAGGACGGATGGTGAAGGGCGCAGGACGGATGGTGAAGGGCGCAGGACCGATGGTGAAGGGCGCAGGAAGTCCCGCTTCTGGCAGAGGAGGTGTTGACAGTTTTTGGTTGCTAAGGTAGAGAGTTTCAGGAAAATGGCCCCGAGAGGTTGCTTGCATGTGGTTCCGAGGGTAGCCATGCACACACTGGAAGCACCAACTGAACTTCGTGGGCTAAAAAACAAAAAACAAAAAAAAACATGAGAGCATGAAGTTGGAAAGGAAATGCACAGTGATGAGAGTTTGGGAGAAGCTGGAGTGGAAGAGCAAAGTTATGACCAAAATATACATGTGTATGTATATACGAAATTGTCAAAATATAAATAAAAAATATTTTTAAAAAGTAGCGATATAGAGTAAGAAAGAAGGAAATCTAAAACTTTCTTCATTTACTCAGTTGTTAACTATATTTTAAAGTTCAGAATGATCCTGATAGTTAAATAATTATAAAGATATCTATAAATAGTGTCAAAATTAGAAGATCTTAGAATAGAATTAACTTCCTCTGGAGGAAAAACAGTTGTTTAATTCTAAAGTAATTTCTTACCAAGCATCGTGATTTAATGACATTAGCTAGTATTTATTTTATGTCTTATCTTTCTTGTCATCGTTCTTTCCTAGCAAGAAAGTATGAGTACCAACAGCCACAGAGCCCAGCTGACAGCGTGCAGCTCTCGCTGGAATGAAACTTCAAACTCAGCACCGGAAGTGACAGTGGAGCAGTGTGGCAGCAAGTTCCTAACCCCCTCCCTCAATCATGACCCAAGGCATTTAGTAAACTTGTCACATCAAGTCATCCCACCACCCCCGTCCCCCACCTCCGCCTTGGCTTTCTTTTGCTTCTTCTAGGGCTTGCTCCATACGTACAAAAACACTTAGGAAGATTCTCTGTGACTACAGATGAGGGCTTTCTCTTTTCAGGATCTTTGATGTCTTCAGGATACAGCGAGAAATACAAACATGTCTTTGGAAGCAAGAATCTTGGAGTTAGTGTCACTATGATGAGAATATTGTCACAGCATTAAAATATGAACTTCTAGCTATATGAGGTGGTTCGCTGTTAGGTTGTGGTCTGGGATGACGAGCTTAACATCAGTAACAGACTGACTTGTGTCGCTCTCACTGTTGTTGCTGGCGCTGAGTTGGTGACTTTTGCTTCACAGCTTGTATGCCACACCACTGAAGTTGTACTGTCTTCTCCATCATGAAGCACAGCCCATCTGCTGGTTGTAGATGCTTCTCTAACTGGGTTTGCCTCCCTTTGATTGTATTCCCAAAAACTTGTTATTTTGTTTCTGATTGCAAATTCCCTTGCCTCCATAGGGCTCCTTGAGTCCATGCTGTTAAACAAAGAGACATCTGTCTTGCTGTTGGCAACTTCCCCATGTTTCTCTGTCAGTGTTGAATGTTACTGTCTCGTGTCTTCTGCTTTTTAAAGCTTTGTTGAAGACCCACCTGTCTTGTGTCATTCTGTTGTAGACAATGGAATGGTTTTTTTTTTTTAACCCAACTTTTCATGCCGAGTTATGTAAAAGCTGGTTGGAGGTAATGGTAGAAGCAAGGCAGAACTCAAGAAAGCTACGGTGCTGTGGCCTCGATGAAAGCAAGCACCTCGGGACACCACAACAGAGACAGATAGCACAGAAGGAAGTGAACTGCACAAGGAGACATGCCACAGTCTGCTTGTAAGTATTACCGAGTCAATGGATGATCCCTGAGCTGAGTCTATAAGGCGGACTACTTGGAGCCCGGTAGAAAGCAAACAGCTAAAAGACAAGAAATACCTGAGCAGCCTTCAGCTGTGTCCCACCACACACATTATAGTTTGATTCCTGCCAAATGGATTGCCTGATAGAACAAAAATCAATACTTCAGCAGAAGCTAATAGAACCAAGGGACTCTACACCATACTGTTCTTCATGTCCAGTATAAAACAAGAGGCAAGAATGGGGAGAACAGGAAATGAGACCCAGAGTCAAGAGGGAAAAGTGGTCCATAATCGAAAGCAAAAGCGACTAGTACAACTGGGATTTCAGAATGTCCCATATGTTACATCAACAGATGAGGACTTGAAAGCAACTATGGTCCCTTGCATCCTTAGCCCCTGGTGGTGTGACTTCAGACATTCTCAACGAATTAGATCAGCCCCTAGCCCCAAACATACAATGAAAAAAAATCGTGACTGTCAGGAAAGGAATTTGAGAAATATAGTGGTATTAGAATGAAGGGAATTCAAGCTTCCCATCCAATCTTCATGAACTTCAGGTTAAATAGAGGAAGATCTGGGACAGGAGCAGTCTCAACCCTGCACACACATGTATAGACCATATGTGCTCGTGTACATATATACATACTTACAAACGCAGGGTTAGAAAAACAGCTTTTTTTTTAATTGAAGTTATAGAAAAAGACCTTGAGGTTGAAGTATACTTAGGGACCCAGAGGTCTGGAGGTACGTGGAAGATCCAGGAACGTGAGTCCAGACCAGAGGCTTGGCTTTAAATATCACCCATTTTGTGCCCCATGGTTCACCTTGACAAACTACCAAGTATTTACTGCTCGGGGAGGGTGACAGGATACATATCAGCTGTTGTTTTTATACTTTTCTTAAGTTAGTGTATATGACTTAGTCCAAAAACAAACTGTTCCTAGGATAAAGGCCGTAGGGTAGGAGAGAAATGTTTGTGTGACATTACTTTCAGTAACGTAAGGCAGCAGAACTGGTTATAAATCACACCAAGCACTCCTGCCAACCATCTCAGTCCTCCTCCTAGCCTGTCTCCATTCCTTTGTGTCAGCCATGAGTTCACAGAAACACTCCCCAGGGACTCCCAGTGGCACACTGGGCAGGTACTCATGTGAGTTCATGATCCTTCCTGTCCTCCTTTATGATCCCTCCAGTCTCTCAGGCCTCTAAGCGCCTGCTTGGTGAAGCTCCTCCTCCCTCCCCAACTCCATTCACTGGGGAACCTTGGTGCAGATTCAGGGTGTCCCTATCCCTTTCACCCCTGTCTATCCAGACTTCACCTTTGTCCTACGTAAGCCTGCTTGCAGGGGTCTGCACTCCCACCACACTTCACTGCCTCGGGACTGTAATTCTTGGTGCAGACGCAACCCCTCTAATGTATTCCCGCAGCCCCCACAGCCTTTCCTCCTTGCCCGGCTCCATTTCTTTCTGCCACCTACAGAAGCTCTCTACCAAGGACCACATCAGTCACCACGCTTGCCTGGGATCCAAAGACCAGAACAGCCACCCAGCAAAGAAGACCAGATAGCAACGCCAAGAAACATCTCGACTGTCATAACTTCAGATGCTTTGTCTCTGCCCCAAACAAACCCGAACAGCCACGACAGTTCACTCCCTCAGAACCCAGTGGCCCTAAGAGACACACTGTAGCTGAAGCACAAGATACGGGTTTCAAAATAACAATTATGAATAAGGTCAAGGACCTTAAAGAGGACAAGAATAAGTTTCTCAGTGCAGATTGTGACAACACAAAGAAGCAACTGAATGAAACAATGGAAAGATTTCAAGATCTGAGAGTAGAAATAGAATCACTATCTCAGGGTTCCTACTGCTATGATGAAACACCATGACATGGGGAGGAAAGGGTTTACTTGGCTTATATAGCACAGTCTGTTGGGGGAAGTCATGTCAGGAAGTCAAACAGGGCAGAAATCTGGAGGCAGGAGTTGATGCAGAAGACATGGAGGGTGCTGCTTACTGGCTTGTTTCTCATGCCTTGCTCAGCCTGCTTTCTTATAGGACCCAGGACCACCAGCCCAGGGATGGCAACATCCACAATGGGCTGGGAACTTCCACATTAATTACTAATTATGAAAACACCCTAGAGGATTGCTTACAGCCCAATCTTATGAAGACATTTTCTCAATTGAGACTTCTTCCTTCCCAAAAACTCTAGATTGTGTCAAGTTGACATAAAACTAGTCAGCACAATCACTAAAGAAAAACTGGCAGATAAAAAATTTAGGAAGGCAAAGAAAAACAGAGGTACAAAGCATGAAAGAGAGAATCAGTTATTGAAGAACTGATTAGCTTGGTCAAAGAGAATGTTAAATCTAAACTAATCCAGACACAAAACATAGAGGAAATCTGGGTCATGATGAAAAGACCAAATCTACAGATAAAAGTCAAAAAAGGAGAGAAAAAAAAAAAAAAAACAGGTCAAAGGCCCATTATGATAATACCTGACTTCTCAATAGAGACTCTGAAAACCAGAAGGGCTTGGCCCAATATTCTCCAAATTGAGAGACCATAGATGCCAGAAAATCTGTCAATCAGAATAGGTGGAGAAAGAGAAACATCCCACAGTAAACCAAATTTAAGCAGTAGCTATACCAGTCAAGCTATACAGAAAGCACTAGAAGGCAAACCAACCTGAAGAGGTTAACCATACCCAAGAAAGGAGTACATAATCTCAGATCAATAAATCAAAAGGGGGAGACCCACATCATAACAAAACACAGGAATCAATAAACACTGTTCATTGATAATTTTCAATATATATATATATATTTTTTTTTTTTTTGGTTTTTTGAGACAGGGTTTCTCTGTATTGTTTTCGAGGCTGTCGGTCCAGCCCGGCCTCGAACTCACAGAGATCCGCCTGCCTCTGCCTCCCGAGTGCTGGGATTAAAAGCGTGCGCCACCACCGCCCGGCGATAATTTTCAATATTAATGGTCTCAATTTCCCCAATACAAAGACAGACTAGCATATTGGGTTAGAAAGTAGGTTTCATGTTTCTGCTGCATTCATGAAACACAAACCAACATCAAGAAGAGACATCACCTCAGGGCTGAAGAAATGACTCAGCAATTAAGAACACTAACTGCTCTACTAGAGGATCCCGGTTCAATTCCCAGCATCCACATGGCAGCTCACAACTGTCTGTAACTACAGTTCCAGGGGATTTGACACCTTTATATCAATGCACATAAAATAAAGTTAAATAAATTATTTTTTAAAAAAAGAATCGACATCACCTCATGGCAAAAGGATAGAAAAGGGTTTCCGAGCAAATGAACCCATTTTAGTTACTTTTCTATTACTGTAAAGAGACACCATAACCATGGCAACTTATGAAACAAAGTTAATTGGGACCTAGCTGACAGTGTCAGAAGGTAAGTCCTGGGTCATCACGGCGTGGAGTGTGGCAACAAGGAGACATGGTATTGGAGCAGTAGCTGAATGTTTACATCTGATCCATAGCAGGAAGCAGAGACAGAGAGAGAGAGAGAGAGATCGATCATGCTTGGACTTTTGAAAGAGCAAAGTCCACTCCCCAGTGATACATCTTTTCCAACAACGCCACACCTCGTAATCCTTCATAAACAGTCCACCAACTGGGCCCCAGATATTCAAATATATGAGCCTACAGGACTATTCTCATTCAAACCACGAAGTTCCACTCCCTGCACTCCATAGGCTCATAGCCACAATGTCAAGCACATTTAGTCTAACTTCAAAAATCCCCATAGTCTTAGTCTTCACACTGTATGAGTAAAGTCCAAAGCCTTCCCTGACTCAAGGCAATCCCTCACCTATAGCCCTTTGTAAGAGCAAAAATTGCATGCAGTGGTACAGAATAAACATTACCATTCTGAAAAGGAGGAAAGAGTGTGACTCAGCAGAATGTGTGTTTAGCATATTCAATGCCCTGAACTCAAACTGCAGCACCTCTCAAAGTGTAGAATAATATGCACCAAGCTGAATATGTGAGACCACTCCTGTGTAACTATTAAAAGCTAAAATGATGCTTTTGCTATAATAAGTATGTGTTGAACAAATTGGTTGTTGTTTTCTGTCATTACTCTTTATATAAAAAATACATAAATCAACCAGGTGGTGGCGCACTCCTTTAATCCCAGCACTTGGGAGGCAGAGGCAAGCAGTTCTCTGTGAGTTTGAGACCAGCCTGGTCTACAAGAGCTAGTTCCGGGACAGCCTCCAAAGCCACAGACAAACCCTGCCTCGAAAAACCAAAAGAACAAACAAACAAACAAAACAACAACAAAAACAAAACCCACAAATCAGCATCTTCAGGCTACTTACAAAGGACAGGCTGGGCCCTCACCCATCATCTGCAGCCTGATCTCACAGAGGCGTTTTCTCAGTTAAGGCTCCCTCCTCTCTGATGACTCTAGCTCGTGTCTAGTTGACATAAAACTAGCTGGGACAGATGCTGTGTTCAATTAGGAGGCAGCATGACAAAACAGAACAATGGGATTTGGACTAATAAGACCTAAACTCAGTTACAACATTGCAAAACATGGTCTGTATTATAGCAGCAACCATAGTGCTTGTTTTTACTTGGAAAGAAGACCCGTTTTTAACTTATTAAATTATAAGCTACTAGAAGAGTGTAAACTGCTACCATGATTATTTACAGTTTTTTTTTCAATGCCAGGAATCAAACCCAGAACCTTGAACAT